TCCTTTCCTTTACTTAGTTAACTTTTATGCTCTTATTTTGTTTATTTGTTTTCCTTTCTTTCATTATGTCTAGCTAAGTTAGTTATGTCAAGGTGAAAAGGTTACACTAATGGTGTAAGAATAAGTATAATGTAAACTTAATATGGACCTTAATGTTTGATACTAACATGTTTTATATTTGTTATCTTGTTCACTCTTTAATACTTTGCTTGTTAAATGACTAATCTTGATTTATGTTGTATAACACTTGGTACAACAAATGCTTGGCACTTTCATAGCCCATAATGTATGGTATAACCGACACCTGAGCTATGAAAGGAACTTGATTTATTGTTAACATAAGTTATAATCATGAATGCTTGACGAGATTTACAAGTATTAGCATTAATTGAATAAGATGACTAATGTAATCATGTTAACAATATATAATCTGATTGGAACCTCCTTTGTGTGTGGTTTCCAATTCAATAATAAGAGTTTATACTATACTTGTTTGATATACCATTAGTGGAACCTCTAACCTTGACATTTGTTATTATTATTGTTTAATCCTTACATTAATTTTCCATCTCCAAGTTCTCATCATCATCTTCTTCTTCTCTTTCTTTATTATTATTATTATTACTACTACTACTATTATTATTACTACTACTACTACTACTACTACTACTATTATTATTATTAGTATTATTATTATTATTATTATTATTATTATTATTATTATTAGTATTATTAGTATTATTATTAGTATTATTAGTTTTATTATTAGTATTATTAGTATTATTATTATTATTATTATTATTGTTGTTGTTGTTGTTGTTATTATTATTGTTGTTGTTGTTGTTATTGTTATTGTTGTTGTTGTTGTATTATTGTTATTTATAATTTGTACAAATAACCTCCCTGTGGTTCGACCCCGGTCTTACCGGGTTATTTATTACTTCGACACTCCTGCACTTGGGAGAAGACATCAACATTTTCGTCGTGTCACATATCCATGAGAATTTTGAAAATTATGGTATGCTTGAAACTGTAGTTGTGAAGTTTGTGCATTGTCACTCTTCCAATTGAAATTTAGGTGATTTCTCCAACCAGGGTTGTATGTTTGTGAGAATGGGTTATGATTGGGCCTTAGAAAATTATTTAAAGTAGGAGCTTGTTCATGGAGACATTCCTTAAAAGAAGGCAAGGTTGGACAATCATTGGTTGAGTGTTCATTTGTTTCATAAATTTGACATGCAATGTCTTGAATAGATTTTAACTAACTACTCTTTTTCAATTCTAGTGCCTCGACTTTTCTAGCTAAAGTTACAAACTTGACTTGAAGATCATGATCTTCTCTAAGGTTGTACATACCTCCACTAGATGTATGAGGTTGAGTTTTACTCGGTGCCTCATAAGTACCTGCGGTGTCTTAATTTTAAGTATTTTCAGCTAACAAGTCTAAGTATTTCATTGTTTCATCAAGGTCTTTATCTTCAAAAGTTCCATTGCATATCAGTTCAACCATTTGCCTAATTTAGGTGTTAACTCTTCATAAAAATGTGAAACCAATCTCCATGTTTCAAAACCATGATGAGGACAAGTATTAAACAAGTCTCGATACGTATCCCAATATTAGTAAAACATTTCTCCTGGTTTTTGAGTGAAAGTGGTGATTTGTCTTTTGAAAGAGTTTATTCTGTGAGATGAAAAAAACTTCTTTAAAAATTGTTGTTGCATTTCATCTCAAGTACGAATGGATCCAGGTCTCAAATTTTATAGCCATGTTTTAGCTTTATCTTTTAATGAAAAAGGAAAAAGCTCTAATCTGATGGTGTTCATACTATAATTTAAGTCATTATAAATGTTACAGACCTCCTCAAATTCCCTTAAATATAAGTATGGATTTTTTAAATCTAAGCCATGAAAAGAAGGTAAAAGTTGAATAATGCTTGGTTTAAAATTGAAATGAGATGCATCAGGAGGAAAAACTATGCATGATGGTGCACTTGTTCTTGTGGGATTCATATGGTCTCTAAGTATTCTAACATGATTATTCTTTTTATTCTCATTATGAAGTGATTGATTATCTTCTTTGACTATATTTTCTGAAAATGATGAGGATACCCTAGAAAGTTCACCACTTAATGTACATAGTCACACTCTCATCCACATGTAGGAATAGAATAAAAGAAAGAAGAAAACAAAAGAAGAAGAAACAAAAGAAAAAAAAACAAAGTTATATACAAGAAAAGTGAAAAGAGAAAATAAAATAAATAGTATAATTTATACTAGAACTTACCTCTTCGGCAACAACGCCAAAAACTTGACACGACTAAAAGATTGATGTCTTCTCCCAAGTTCAGGAGTATCAAAGTAATAAATAATCCGACAAGACTAGGGTCGAACCATAGGAAGGTTAATTGTACAAATTGTAGATGATAATAATACAATAACAACAATAACAACAATAATACAACAACAATAACAATAACAACAACAACAACAGTAGTAGTAATAATAAAAAAGAAGAAGAAGATATTGATGAGAACTTTGAGATGAAAGATTAATGTAAGGATTATGTAAGGATTAAACAATGATAACAACAAATGTCAAGGTTAAAAGATCCACTAATAGTATGTCAAACAAGTATAGTATAAACTCTTATTATTCAATTAGAAACCACACATAAAAGAGGTTTTAATCATATTAGAAATTGTTAACATAATTACATTAGTTATCTTATTCGATTAATGCTAATACTTGTAAATCTCGTCAAGCATTCATGATTATAACTTATGTTAACAATAAATCAAGTTCTTTTCATAGCTCAGGTGTCAGTTATACCATATAGAATGGGCTATGAAAGTGCCAAGTATTTATTGTACCAAGTGTTATACAACATAAATCTAGATTAGTCATTTAACAAGCAAAGTATTAAAGAGTGAACAAGATAACAAATATAAAACATGTTAGTATGAAATATTAAAGTCCATGTTAAATCTACACTATACTTATTCTTACACCATTAGTGTAAGCTTTTCACCTTAATATAATAAACTTAACTAAATATAATGAAAGAAAAAAAATAAATAAAATAAGAATATAAATAAGATAAAAGTTAACAAAGTAAAGAAAATGAATTGAAAAACATAAACAAGATATTAATGAAAATAAAAATTAAACATTACAAAAATACAAAGAGAGAAAGCAAGTGCATGATCTTGATCTGGAGACCAAGATGCCTAAATGCATAGCAAATACCTCCTTTTATAGGCTAGAATTAGAAACTATTGATTTGATGATTAATTGATAAGTGGGTGGTCAACTCTTGACTTGGTGACAATCCTTATCTTCTCTTGTCTACCCAAAATATTATTGATAACGTTAGAACTCGAACCACTTGAAAACATAAAAGTTGTAGGAAATTATCTCAACTTTCCAGAAAAAAAAAATGGAGGTCATTTCGACTTTTAAAACTCCAGATATGGGCCAAAAAGTGAACAGTGCGCGCAGGTTGTATGACAGATTCAGACTTCTTTGTCGTTGTTGCTACAATTTGGATTTGAAAATGACCTTTTTAAATCTTGGGCTCCATATAAAAGTTACAGGCCTGTGTCTTACTTTTTCATCCATATAAAGTAGACCAAATTTGAGATCTACAGCTCTAGATATGACCCAATTACAAAACAGTATTTCGGTTTGGACTGCACTAACATCTCTTTTTTAAGTTTGGCCATCTCTTTGTCCTTTCAATTTCAGTTCTTAAACTCATCAATCAATCTTTTCATTTATGTAATAGGCCTGTATTTAAAATAAATATTTACCATAAATTAAAGGTATCTTATATTATTAGATATATTATTATAAAATATGTTTTAATTAAGGAGTTATTGATACTTCAAATATAAAATGATAATATAAAACTTTAATAAAAATACACTTTTAAGTATTAATCACTAGAATAAATAAGGAATCTTTGTAAGAACATGGATTGTAAAACATTAAAAGAATAATTGTTATATTTCAAAATTATATTGTTGTTTATTAAAGATCTTATAGAACTTAGAAACTCTAAAAAATAAGCTATTGATTGTACTTGTATCATTAGAAAAAAAATAATTTCATGTAAGAATTTCAAATGTCAAAAGGCAACAACTAGAAAAAGCCATACAAAAATTAATATAGAAAAATAGATTTGAAAACTTTTAATAAAATCTTAATTTGATTCAATAATTAGATATATAGTTATGTTTATTAACGTGAAACCAGGAAGTATATAACATTACACTAAAATCTAAATTTAACTGTTAAATTCTTATATGAATCATGAATATTCAGAAAATAATAATTAGTTATCCCTTTAATGTAAAAACTTCTATATTAAATCTTTGTGTTTTTATATCTATTATTAAATCAAGGTCACATAGAACCATTTTGTTTTTTTCTTTTTGTTTTTAAAAATTTTAAAATCCTATTTATTGTTTTTTGAAAAACATAAAAAAACCAATAATCATTATCAAAAACAATCAGAACCAGATACAGTGGTTTTCAAAAACTGTGATAATGGCCTTTGTTTTTGCTTTGTTGCAACAATTTGTTTTGATTTTTTCCCCAACAATATAAAATCAAAAACAGAAAATAAATAATACCAAATGACCTTATAATCTTTCGTTTAGCTTTCCATTACATTTAAAAAAAGAAAAAAGAAAAAAGGAAAACCGAATTCTATCTCTCTATAAACAAAAATAGAAAAATGCATTTTGAAAGGAATATTTGAAAAAATCGAACAGTCAGCATGGTCAATGGACTAATCTATGATTTTTTCTTTAAAGGACTAAATTAAAACAGAAGTAAGAACTTGGACTAGAAAATAATAATCTGCTAATGAACGGGACTTGAACTGGGTAGTGAGCTTGTGAATATCGCCGTCCATTCCATCCAACACAGCACAGGACAAGAGACAGAGCCTCACTCCTCACGAATCTTATAAAAAAAACCCCAGCTCCTTAGCACAAAATAATATAAAATAAATAAAACCACTTTTTAACTTTTATTCCTCCTATTCGCTGCTTGCCACAAACCCGTCTCTCTCCCCCTCAGCACATAATAAGGGTAGTTGATAATAGAAGAAGAAGAAGAAGAAGAAGATATATCTGAGAGATTTTGTTATTCAAATAGTAAAAATAAGAAATTAATTAAATGGTGAGGATAATGCCTATGGTGTCCTCCACAATTAGACCATCATCCTACCTGACCTGTTCTTCATTCATGTTCTGTAATACTTGTGCCCCTTCTCGCAGATTCGCTTATCTTGCTACCGGTAACTATACTCTTCTTTTCTTTCTTGAATTTGATTGATAATTTTTTTTAGTAATTTGAATTAATCGAATTCATAATTGAATTAAATTTACATTTCTGTAGATTTTATAGTGATAATATTGAAAGCTAGGGCTTTGTTTCCTTGCTTAATTTGTGCATTGGTATGTAATGGTGATGCAGCTGTTCCGCAATCACATTTCTTCGGTTTGAAAGCTTCGTCTGAGATTTGGAGAGGAGAGAGTAGAACCATTGCAACTGGAAATATGGCACAAGCAAGCACAGCTGCTACTCAAGAAAGTTTGTTGGAGTGGGTAAAAAAGGACAAGCGTAGAATGCTACATGTTGTTTATCGTGTTGGGGATTTGGACAGGACTATAAAGTATGTATTGTGTTTTATCTCGTCTCTATGTTTTTGCTTATAGGAAATTGTTAATGTGCAAGCCTCAAGGTCGAGCCAAAATGAAAAACCTGTGCTGCTGAATGCAGGTTCTACACTGAGTGTCTGGGGATGAAGCTGCTGAGGAAACGTGATATACCTGAGGAGAGATATACAAATGCCTTTCTTGGATATGGACCGGAAGACTCCCACTTCGTCATAGAACTCACTTACAGTAAGTGAACAGACTACCACTCCATTCAGTTTTGTCAACCTTTTCTAATATCTGAAACTGTGAGGTTATGATTTAGCTTTCCTAATTTACACCATAATGTAAAATTGTTGCAATGTGATTTGTTGTTTTATAAACTTGATACTAGATGTCTCTGGATTTTTTTTATTTTTATTTTGTGGGTGCTTATTTTTAGTTGTTTAACGCTGCCAGATTATGGAGTTGACAGCTATGATATTGGAGCTGGATTTGGACATTTCGGCATAGCAGTTGAGGACGTAATTTCCTGTATCTGAACTTTCATTTTTATTTTTATCATTATTCTTGAAACTGCTGTGAAATTAAAATGTCAGGGCTATTTGGACCTAGCTATTCTTTAGTTTTTTGTTTTATATATATATATATATATTTATATATTATTATTATTATTATTATTATTATTATTATTATCGAACTTTGTGAGGAAACATTTTATATCATAAAAATATCTATAAGCGCTACTAATGATGTTCTGATGAATCCCGAAAAAAATTGAACTAGGTTTTGTGTGCTCTTTTGATTAGGTTGCCAAGACTGTTGAACTCATAAAGGTCAAGGGTGGCAAAGTGAATAGAGAACCCGGTCCTGTTAAAGGTGGCAGTACAGTAATTGCTTTTATTGAAGATCCTGATGGTTATAAATTTGAACTGTTGGAAAGGGGACCTACCCCTGAGCCACTCTGTCAGGTCATGCTTCGTGTTGGTGATCTTGATCGTTCTATAAATTTTTACGAGAAGGTGAGTTATTCTGGCCTGATCAAGCAACTATTTGCATAGTGATTATTTCATGTTAATAGTGATAAATCTGCAACTTGTTTCATGATATAGGCTTTTGGCATGAAGCTTCTCCGCAAACGAGATAATCCAGAATACAAGGTAACTTGGCCTCTTTTTGCCTAGTGCATGTCATTCACCATTTCATATCTTGTTTATACTCCATCATAAATTAGTTTCTTAGGATCAATAATTAGATCTGATTAGTTGGTGTCCTTTTTTTTTTTCCTGAAAGGTAACATGGAAGAGAACAGTAACTTTACCTAACTTATGGGTTAGAGAGGATATAGGGTAAAAACAAAACATTTCATCATGGCAGGAGAACACTCCCCAAGAGACAAGAAGATTATTTTCATAGCTTTCATGGGGCAGAACCCATGGTGGGCTGCAACAAGTTACTGTTTTTATTCTACTTTATTGTTGTCTCCAAACTTTTCTATAAAATAGTGGTCTCTTTCATTATAAAGAAATTTCTGCAATTGGTGACTTGATTCCTATTGAAGTCAGAACTCAAAAGTGGAGTTTCTGGCAAGATAATCAATCACTTCATTTTACCAGTAGTTGTGTTGTGAGGTCCCATACAAACATTTTTATAAGTCTGTAATATTTTTGGATAGAAATTTCTCATCCTTTATTGGGGGGAGTTTGTGAGGTGTCAAAAGTGAGAGTAAAACAAATCATCTGTCGGTGCCTAAGTTTTCTACTAAGTTCAAGTCTTCTATGGGGAGGTCTACATGAAAATGTCATGTTGGAGAAAAATTTGATAGGGATTTTGGTTCAACAGCAAGAACTTAAGGTTTTACTTGTTGCTTGATTCTCTTGCCTGCATTGTTTCTTTGGATCATATTCCAAACCTTTCTCACATTCATGACAAATTTCCATTACAGCTTGATTTATGTATCTTTGAATTGATTCTTCGGATCAAATTCCAAACCTTTCTCACATTCATGACAAATTTCCATTACAACTTGATTTATGTATCTTTGAATTGAGTGTCTACAGTACTTGCATTTCTAGATCAATTGATTTGATAATTTAAAAAAAAATTCTGTACACATCCTTTGTTTGACATCTAATTTATTATTTAAACTGACAATCTTGTGTCCGCTACTGTCAGTACACAATAGCCATGATGGGTTATGGGTCTGAAGATAAAAGCTGTGTGCTGGAGTTGACGTACAACTATGGGGTCACTGAATATGACAAAGGAAATGCGTATGCTCAGGTGGACTTTTTTTCTTGTGCATGGTGGAATTTGTTTCAGTGTTCTCAAAATACCATGGTTGCTTATGTGCCTTTGTTTCTTGATGAATTTAGTGGTACTTCATGAGAATGATGGATTGCTTTTTCATTGAATAGTCTGGGATCTGATTTTTTTCTTTTTCATTGTGAAAGATTGCGATAGGCACAGATGATGTCTATAGAACTGCAGAAGCAGTTGAAATTTTTGGTGGAAAAGTTACCCGACAGCCTGGACCATTACCTGGTATCAACACCAAGATCACTGCTTGCTTGGATCCAGATGGTTGGAAGACGGTATGATTTCAATTTTTTTTTCCCTTTATGTTTCTGCCTGATGACATTTTTTGCTATCGAAGCAGTAATGTCAGAACAAACTGTAATTACATTGAATGATTTTATTTTCTATTTTTTGTTAAATCTTTGACAGTACTGCTGCATGATCTATTGAACATGTTTCATGAACATATTATGCTATAGGTGTATCACTTGGCTCACTTACATGCACTAACTTCTTTATGAAGAGGATGTGCCTGTGCAAGACATGACTGCTAGAGTTTGCTTGATATGAATGGTATAGGACCAGATAGCCAGATCCCTGCCAGGATGAAAGGTTGTTCAAATCTGACCGATGTTGTTGTCTGGTTTCCCTCTTTCAATTTTTGAAACACTGGCTATGTGCCTGCGAGGCATTGTTCAACATGAGCCTAGGATGACATCTTAATAATTAGAGGGTTTGTTCTGAGGTTTGATTGACAAAAGAACTTACTAAACTTGGTTGGTCTTTGCAATTTGAAGATGTGAAACTTGCTTGTATTTCACCGGTTATCATGTGTATAACTGCATATTCAATTGTAAATCCTATCTTTGAAAGTAAAATTTTCTATGTTATTAATCTGGCTGTCCATCATAAGGAATATTTTAAGGAACCCTGTGCATCTGTATTGTTCGCTTGGTTTTACAGTTATTTATTTTCTTTTGCAGGTTTTTGTAGATAACATTGACTTTCTCAAGGAATTGGAGTGAGTCTGAGGACAGCATCAATATGTAATGCCCGCTTCTAATCTTGTGTCAAAACATCTGTCCAAATTTGTCTCATGTGAGATGGTGATCAAGTAGCATTTTGTAGATAAAACTAAAGTTTATTTCATGGGAATCAAAGTAATAAACTTATTGGTGGTAGCTCTGCATTAGCTTTCCCCATTTTGTAGATAAAACTAAAGTCTCTTTCCTAATTTGGTAGCTTTGCATTAGCTTTCCCCGTTCGAAAAGTCAAGTTCTGTAAGCATCCGCAGAATACCTAAAAGATGTGTATTGTAACAAGCCATTTCTGAGCTGTTGTCATTCTCAAGATTTTCTGTTGGTAGAAGTTTTTACTAAATTTAGCAGATTGTTGCAGTGTTTTTGAAGTTATAATCCTTTACGTCATAATTGAACTCTTTTTTTCCCCTCTTCTAAGAGTAGTGAATAAGTGGTTACGATGCTCACCAAATTTCAAATTCGTACTCCTGCAAAGGGTTGGGCAAGTCACCTCATCCATCTCGCTGAAGAGTTTGAGCTCGAGCTGTGGCAATGTAGCCTTTAGTTGGTGGTAATTACACCTCATGTGCCCTCAATTCATGGAGATGTGGTGGGAGTTGTGGATGCAATATTATAATTCTCAAATGTGGATAATGCAAACTTTTGAAATGACCAATGAATTGTGTTCTAATTGGATCATACGAAATTTTGATATAGCTAGTGATATCTGGATTTTGGAATACGACGTGCGCGCGGCAGACACATGAAATGGAATATTGTTTGGCTTTCCCAGGATCCAGGTCTTTGGAAGGAAAAGGAGGAAAAAAGTTGCTGGGTAATAGATGCGAGTCATGTGACGCTTTATAGTTGCCCGAATGATCGGAGCTCAACTATTTAAATCCTTCCAATTCTTTTATCAACCGAATGCATGGTCAAACAAGCAAATCCAATGTTAAATTCCCAAATGATTGTGGTTGAAGGAAACAAGTTTTTAATAAAACTATTTCTTCTCTTTTCAGCAATAAAAGTATCATGGAGTTGGTTTGTAACTCAATCAAAACTAAATTTCCCCTCCAAATCTAAACTGAAATTGATAATGTTTTATAATCCAAAGTGTTCTTTAGCAGTAGAATTATAGGTTAATCACATGTTCTAGTAAGATAATATATTCTCTATGATTTATCAAACTTGTAACTCATTGTAGAAAACCTATAACCTGCAAAACAATCTTCTTTAGAAGGATATGAGGACCTTTAGATGATAAAATCAGTAATCTTTATATAAATGATCACCATAAATAAGAGAATAAACATTTATTTTTAAGAACAAGAATATTTGTTCTTAGTTTTAATGTGATAAAAGCTTTGAAATTCAGAAGGTATTTTTATAGAGAATAAAGATTATGAACCCTTTACCTAGGTGGTTAAAGGAATATTCATAACCCCTAAACTTTGTTGTTTTATATTGGAATAGAGGGATTAGAGTGTCATTTTTTCCTACTAGTAAATATCTCTTATACAATATTAATGAGAAAAAAATCCTTTACAGAATATTAATGATGATTGAAATATGGTAATTTCTTAGAAAACTTGTACACACCTAAAAGTGTAGGAAGATGAATATCTTTGTCATCAACATTTTATGTTAAAAGTTATATGAATAAGAAAATAAAGTTTTATGGCCCAACATAGGGTCTATAACAATTTCTAGATCTATATCCACTTGAGCTTAGCATGATGCCAAGCCCACAGGTGATAGGTCTGGTTGCTTGCTTAAGTTCAGCGCATAACTAAGCCCTAGGACATTGAGTCTGTCAACTTGCTTGAGTCTGTCAACTTGCTAGAGTCATGTCTACTTGGCTTAACATAATGCTAAACCCATGGTCGATAGGTCTGGTAGCTTGGCAGATCTATAACTGCTTGGGCTTAGCATATAGCTAAGTCCTAAGATATTGTGTTTGGTAAGTTGCTAGACCCATATCCATTTGGGCTTGTCATGATGCCAAGCCCAAGGATGTTAGGTCTAGCAGTTTATCAGATCTCAAGGACGTTGGGTCTGGCAACTTACTAGACTCATGTCCACTTAGGCTTAGCAAAATGCCAAGCCCGTGAATGATGAGTCTGCTAGCTCATCAGACTCATGTCTTCTTAGGCTCAATGCATAACTAAACTCAAGGATGTTAGGTTTGACAACTTACCATAACCATGTCCGCTTAAGCTTGGCATGAGTGGTGGGTCTGTTAGCTCGCCAGACCCTTGTCCCCTTGGGATCAACATATAGTTGAACTTAATAATGTTGGGTTTGACAGCTTGTTAGATCAATGTCTTATTAGACTTAGCACGTAATTGAACTTAATGATATAAGGTATGAGAACTTGTTATATCCATGCACATTTAAGCTCTAGTCTTAATTATGTCTAATGGTGTTGGGCTTAGAAAAGAGCTAGACTCATGTCATCTAGACCTAACATTCTGCAAGCCTAGGGATGTTGGGTATGGACATAAGACTCACCAACTTATTATTAGGTTATCAACCTACCTTTGGACTTTCTAAAAAGGGACTTAAGCTCAAAATTATTTTTTCAAAATATATTGATCCATTAGTAGCCCCCTAAGACTTTGTGTATTGAAAGCATAAAGATTTAAAGTTTGTTAGCTTTAATGAGAGACCTTTTACTTTCTTTATGAGATAGATTATCCCAAACAGAACTATTAGGATTCTTGTGTTCATGTGCCTTGTCCTCATTAAAAGAGAGTCTATTGGGAAAAAAATGATGACATATATTGATACGATCAAAAGATTAATGTCTTCTTCCAAGTGCAGGAGTGTCGAAGTAATAAATAACCCTGCAAGACTAGGGTCGAACTAAAGGGAGGTTAATTGTATAAATTATAAATAACAACAATACAACAACAACAACAACAACAATAACAATAACAACCATAATAGTAATAATAATTGTAATAGTAGTAGTAGTAGTAATATAAGAAGAAGAAGAAGAAGAAGAAGTTAATGAGAACTTTGAGATGGAAGATCAATGTAAGGATTAAACAATGATAACAACAAATATCAAGGTTAGAGGATCCACTAATAGTATTTCAAACAAGTATAGTATAAACTCTTATTACTCAAATAGAAACCACATACAAAAAAGGTTCCAATCAGATTATAAATTGTTAATATGATTACAATAGTTATCTTATTTGAATAATGCTAATACTTGTAAATGTTGTTAGGTATTCATGATTATAACTTATGTTAACAACAAATCAAGTTTCTTTCATAACACAGATGTCGGTTATACCTTACAGTGTGGGCTATGAAAGTGCCAAACATTTGTTGTACCAAGTATTATAAATATAAATCTAGATTAGTCATTTAACAAGTAAAGTATTAAAGAGTGAACAAGATAACAAACACAAAACATGTTAGTATCAAACATTAAAGTCCATGTTAAATTTATACTATACTTATTCTTATACCATTAGTGTAACCTTTTTCACCTTGACATAATAAACTTAGTTAAACATAACTGACACGATGAAAAGATTGATGTCTTCTCCCAAGTGCAGGAGTGTCGAAGTAATAAATAACCCGGCAAGACTGGGGTCGAACCACAAGGAGGTTAATTGTACAAATTATAAACAACAATTATAAACAACAATAATAACAATAACAACAACAACTATAATAATAATAATAATAGTAGTAGTAGTAGTAGTAGTAGTAGTAGTAGTAATAATAATAATAATAAAGAAAGAGAAGAAGAAGAAGATGATGAGAACTTGGAGATGGAAAATTAATGTAAGGATTAAACAATAATAATAAAAAATGTCAAGGTTAGAGGTTCCATTAATGGTATGTCAAACAAGTATAGTATAAACTTTTATTATTGAATTGGAAACCACACACAAAGGAGGTTTTATTATTCAATTGGAAACCACACACAAAGGAGGTTCCAATCAAATTATAGATTGTTAACATGATTACATTAGTCATCTTATTTGATTAATGCTAGTACTTGTAAATTTTATCAAGCATTCATGATTATAACTTATGTTAACAACAAATCAAGTTCCTTTCATAGCTCAGGTGTCGGTTATACCATACAGTATGAACTATGAAAGTGCCAAGTATTTGTTGTACCAAGTGTTATACAACATAAATCAAGATTAGTCATTTAACAAGCAAAGTATTAAAGAGTGAATAAGAAAACAAATACAAAACATGTTAGTATCAAACATTAAAGTCCATATTAAGTTTACACTATACTTATTCTTACACCATTAGTGTAACTTTTTCACCTTGACATAATAAACTTAGCTAGACATAATGAAAGAAAGAAAAATAAATAAACAAAATAAGAACATAAATAAGATAAAAGTTAACTAAGTAAAGGAAAGGAAATGAAAGGCATAAACTTGATATTAATGAAAGCAAAGTTTTGCAGAATGCATGCGTGTCCTTGAACATGGTGGACCAATAAAATCCATTTTGAAAGATTTTTATAGCTGTCTTTTTTGACGAGAAATAACTTCCACATGCTTTAGAATGACAAAGTTTAATAACACTAATTACCTCATTGTCGGGAATGAATCTTTGAAATATTTGATTAGGACAATATTTGAATAAGTTAGGGTCATCACAATAAAAGCTCTTCACTTCGTTCAAAAACTTTTCTTTATCTTGGGTACTCCAATCAGCTGGCAAATTTCCTAAAGCAAGAAAATTGATATTTTTCTTATACCAAGGCATTGGACTAAGAGAAAGTAAGGATTCGTTAGGAAAGTAATCATCGATTGGTGTGATGTCAGATGTCAAATCTGTTGTCACTATTGACAAAAGATTCACATCAATATTTTTGGTGCTTGTTTCATTTGTGATTTCTTCCTTAGAATAAATCACTTGCAAATCTTCAGATTCATCTAACTCATTTTTACTTAAAGTAGATTCAAGTTGATCATAAACTAATTCATCAATATGATCTACTTCTTGTAAATCATTATCATCTCTAGGTTGCTTGCAAATGTTGAAAATATTCATCTCCAATGTCATGTTTCCAAATGATAGCTTCATCAGTCCATTCCTACAATTAATCAATGCGTTAGAGGTTGCAAGAAACGGATGTCCTAAAATAACAGGAAATGAATTACATGCTTCAACAGGTTCTGTGTCCAAG